TTCTCTCTCTCAAATCATATACACTGATGGTTCCCTACACCGCACCACGGGTGCAGCTGGAAGTGCAGTTGTCCTGACAATGGGCGATGGCTTGTACTTTGAGTGGGGAGTCCGTATAAACAACTGGGCCTCTACCCTTCAGACCGAACTATTTGCCTTGATCCTTGCACTGAAATGTGTACAAGTCTCCAAACTTGATACATTAATTGTAAGTGACTCCTTATCATCCTTAAATGCTCTCAACTCTTTAAGACATAACTGTAACATGCTCGTGTCCGAAGCTAGACACAAATACAACAAAATTATTAAGGATGATAGCAGAGTCCATTTCATGTGGTCTCCATCTCATGTTGGCCTCCGAATGCATGATAGAGCTGATGAGTTAGCCAAAGAATCTGCCTTTAAAGGAGCCGTTGAATGTAACCTTGGATTGTCAATGAGCAATCTGAGAGCAGCAGTACATCGAGAACTTCAACAAGATCTTGTAGATCTGAGGCAAAGTGAAATTGACACCAGTAATTCCATCTATCATCATACTATCATGCAAGAGGAGCCACACATCTATGGATCATCCAATAAAATCAGCAGACTTCTAGATGTTACTACTGCTCGGCTTAGACTCGGTTACAAGTATCTCTGGGAATTCTCATTATCTACCGATGTAGACCTGACCAAATGTAAACTGTGTCAACAAAATTATTCGCACACCCTCCGTCACTATGTGATGGAGTGCAAAAAGATACGTGAATTTAGAGACAATTCTATAACCAATGTTCCAGCGATGTGTAAATATTTCATTCAAAATGATCTGCTATCAGAAATTTTAGCCAAATATCCCCAGTTTGCTAACTGTAGGTAGTAACTAAGTGATTGTAACCTATCCACCGCTGCCCACTGGATGGGGGGCGGTGTGCAGGACAAACATATCAATTGTGACACCAGCTCTCCACATATGTCAGTTGCTTAATTTAGAACCTGTACTTGAGGTCGATCTCGAACCCATTGTTGATGTGACGACATATTGAATTTTGTAACTAGCTCATCAAGATTGTAACTTGCTTAGCTAAATGAATTATGGGGTTCAGTCCCTGAGCCCATTATGTGCCTCTGTAACCCTTTCCACTAACGCCCACAAGATGGGTATGGGGGGCATAATAAATGAACTAAACTAAAAAAAAAAAAGGCTTCTAAACAATATATTCACGACCGCGATTCCGGGCGAGCGTTGGTATACCAAGAAGAACGCTGAGTTTAACTTGATATATGTTCTGTCTATTGACCGAGAGACAAGCGGACACGACCACCATGTACGGACTTCCACACGAGAATAGTCTTGCCTTGGATTGCAAGTTACCTAGGGACACAAGCACCAGGTCTACCAAGTGACCAATGGCGTTGCAGCGAAGGTGCCGGAACCAATAGATACAATAGAAACCAGAGATACAGTGTTTCTGCTGTATTGTGCCTACCAATTTGTTGTCAACTACCATTTTAAGCTGTCATTGCAATCAATCATAGCTACCTATGTGCTTTAATATACTGTACCTATAATTTTCTCTCATCTTTTTTTTTTTTCATTCCATGTAATCTGTTATCATTTTTTGTCTATAAATTTTGCAAGTATTTACCTCCTTAAAATTTTCTTAGATTAAGGACCTGCCCGAAACGCTGCGCGTGCTAGTGGCTTTACAAGACTGTAATTACCATAATTGTATCCTCACATTCCTTATGTACATTCTTGTATATGCATAAATAAATAAATAAATAAATAAATAAATAAATAAATAAAATAATACTGAACGTTACATGATTGGTAGAAGAGTGACGTCATGACCACGTCACGACTACCTTACTGTTGTTTTCATTGCGCCGGTTGAGAGTGACCCCAGAGATCAGGGGCCAGATTCATGAAAGCACTTACGAACCTGTACATCTTTTCTCAATCTTTGGCGGCTTTGTTTACAATTATTAAACAGTTAATGAGCTCCGAAGCACCAGGAGGCTGTTTATAACAATAACAACAGTTGAATAGGAAGTGTTCATGCTTGTAAACTGTTTAATAAATGTAACCAAAGCCGTCAAAGATTGAGGAAAGATGTACACGTTCGTAAGTGCTTGCGTAAGTGCTTTCGTGAATCTGGCCCCAGATCTTATCTGTAGCCTCGCCGGCGTCCCCAAAATCATTTACGTCCTCTATAATTACTCAACACAAAGCTGCTATTAGAACAATATCAAACTCTGGCTCCAGATAGCACTCGGTACCCCTACTTAAATCTTTGAATATGTTAGATATTAAGTCACTGTAAATCCTCTCAAGTGTACTCTTTATATTTAAAACTCTGAACTGTAATGTCAATCCTGACCTTAAACGTTTCCTAGTATAGGTTTTAAAAGAACCCATGAGCACCATACCAGAAACAAATACCTATTTGATATTCCAAGAGTGCGCCTTATCCAAACTAGAAATGCTCTACAAATTAAGGGACCCAGAATGTGGAATGACCTTCCCAATCAGGTCAAATGCTGTATCTCTCTCAACCAGTTTAAGAGAAAACTAAGTACTATCTAATAAACTCCCTGTAACCTATCTTACCCCTAAATGTCAACCCATGTCTTGCTATTTTCAAACAATACTTTTTGTTGACCAACATGTATAATTGCTGCTCTCTGCTATGTTCATTATTTTTTTAACACCATTTATACTTAAATCACAATTAGTATTAAGTTTTAGTCTAAGTGATCCCCCCCCCCACCTTGCCCGAAACGCTATGCGTATTAGTAGCTTTAGGTATTGTATGTACTACCTCTATTTATAAATCCAACGTTATGTTTGTAACTCATCTTCTATGTATGTACTTTTACCTGAATAAACTTTTGATTTGATTTGATTTGACTTCAGACCAAATGGTATGAGGTACTTTGAGCTCTGTAATTATACTTCATACACTCAGGAATATTGGAAGATGTTCTTGTGCTGTACCCTGATTTTGCTAGTGGAGGCTAATAGATCAGCCTGACATTTTATGTTCTCTCCTGATTTTCAGTCAGAGCTGATTTGTTTTTGGATTGAGGCTTCGACAAGAAGCAAAGTACAATGCCTTAAGCCAAATTGATGCTTTAGTCAGAGAGCGCTCCCTTTCCCAGATTATTTACACTGATAGATCCTTGCACCAGTCCCCATGGTGCAGCTGGAAGTGCAGTTGTTGTGACAGGGAGAGATGGTTCCATCTCCCATGAGTGTAGAGCGCGTCTAAGTAACTGGGCCTCCACTCTTCAAACAGAATTGGTTGCCATAATCCTTGCCCTAGAGCGCGTATATGAATCCAAAATTGACACGCTAATTGTAAGTGACTCCTTGTCATCCTTGACTGCCCTCAGCTTCCCAAGGTATAACTGTGACGTGCTTATCTCTGAACCTAGACACAGATATAGTGAAATAATCTATGATGGAGTCAGAGTTTGTCTCCTGTGGATTCCTTCCCATATTGGTCTCCGAATGCATGATAGAACTGATGAGTTGGCCAAGACTTGCTCGTAAAGAGGGAATTGATTACCAACTTGGACTGCCTTTGAGCAGCCTGAGGGCAGCAATATCCCAGGAACATCAACTAAATTTCGGAGACTTGAAGCAAAGTGAAATTCACACCAGTTACTCCATCTATCATCATTCTATTATGCAGGAAGAACCGCACGTCTATGGGTCATCCAATAATGTTAGAAGACTTCTAGATGTTACCACTGCTAGGCTTAGGCTCGGCTACAAGTACCTCTGGGAGTTTGTAACATCTGCTGATGTAGATTTGACTAAATGTAAACTCTGTCAGCAGAACTATTCGCATACTTTGCGTCATTATATAATGGAATGTGAACAAATTGCGGAATTTAGAGATAACAGCATCCATCAATAGTGTCCAAGAAATGTATAAGTACTTCATTCATAATGATGTGTTGCCCGACATCTTAGCGAAGTATCCAAAATTTGCTTACTGTAGGTAATGCATGCACATGACTGTAAAGCTGCCGCCCAGTTGGGTGGGTGTGGAGCACATGACTGTAAAGCTGCCGCCCAGTTGGGTGGGTGTGGAGCACATGACTGTAAAGCTGCCGCCCAGTTGGGTGGGTGTGGAGCACATGACTGTAAAGCTGCCGCCCAGTTGGGTGGGTGTGGAGCACATGACTGTAAAGCTGCCGCCCAGTTGGGTGGGTGTGGAGCACATGACTGTAAAGCTGCCGCCCAGTTGGGTGGGTGTGCAGCAAGACTAGTAACTGTGTGACTCACTATAGATGTAAAGTGCCTTGTATAGTGACTGTTGTGAGCCTCTTGTAATGTCACTTGTGACACCTCTTTGTGTCACTTGTGACACAAAGATTATTGATGTGTGTATTTGTGTGGGTGATTAGATATGTATGTGTATGTATATGTGTATACGTATATATATATATACACATGTATGTATGAGGGTGCGTACATGTGTATACAACATTGATAATTTTGTAACTAGCGTCAAACATTGTTATTTGCTTAGCTAAACGAACTAGAGGGTTCAGTTCCTGAACCGATTATGTACCTCTGTAATCCGTTACACCACCGCCCACGGGATGAGTATGGGGTGCATAATAAAGAAAGAAATTGAAATTGATTGAGGCTGATATTTTCTCCCCTGATTCCATGTATGACTAACCATCCTGTGAGGTGGGGATATTTGATGAACTTATAGCTAGGTTTTGATCTACACTGTGTAATCTTTCTTTCATATAGAGGGGGGGGGTGGGCAGCAGCACATTGATGTGTATACCTGAGCTTATTAATAAAATAAAATAAAAATTGTAATAAAAAAGTGAAATTATTATTATTATTATTATTATTATTATTATTATTATTATTATTATTATTACTATTATTTACTATTATTACTTATCTCATTATTTATTAATAGTATTATTATTAATGTAGTCATTTTGACAGTGTTGTTGTTGTGATCGCGGACCAAAACAAACACCCAAGATGGCTGAGCCGGGGTCGGATGCGAGGATGCTCCTGGATCTTCTGGCTAAGTTCGCGGTGGATAAGCTGGATGATGCCTGGATAAAGAAAGTTATTGACGCAGACTTCACGGAGGTGGAGGACCTGCCGCCAGAATACGAGGAACATCACTACAGCACCAACCTGAGCGGTCTCTTCAGTGCCGTCGTCGGCTGCTGTCGTCAGTGGGTTGACACTCTGCCTCCCATCTGCGCCGACGACACCGACAGGAAGCTCTCCGTGTCGAGCCTCGCGGCCTCCGAGGACACCGCCAAGCTCTCCGTGTCGAGCCTCGCGGCCTCCGAGGACACCGCCAAGCTCTCCGTGTCGAGCCTCGCGGCCTCCGAGGACACCGCCATCCACACCAGGTTCTGGATTGACCTGTCCGAGGACGTGAAGGGTCTGATGGCACTGTTGTTTTACTACAGTTCTCGGGGCCAGAGGTACGACGCTGGGGAGGAGGACCGGGAGCTGGGTATCCAGGCCGCCAGCCTCTACTTCCTACTCCTCTGTATCCCCGGCAGTAATGCCTTCAGAGTGTTTCACCCCGTCATGTATCTCAAGACCCTCGATATCATGCGTCTCACAACAAAATTGAGAGTTGGTGCGTCGACCCATAAGAAAGGTCGACAGGGCACGGTGCGTGGGATTCAGCGTAAGTCCTATGATGAGCATTTGATGGTCGATGCTGATGATGACGATGAAGCAGAAATGGCAATGCTAACCCCGAATGAAGCAAGTAAACTGATCAGATCATTGAATATTCTCCTTAATGATTTTCTCAGATTTACCCAAAAATTCTCATTGAAGCATTCTGCAGAATCACTAGATGAGACCATTAGTATACTGATAGACGTGTCTCGATGTGAGACTAATAATGCTCAGGGAATATTTATTGGAAGACATGGACCAGGAACAGTGGCAGCATTAGCATACAATGCTTATGTTGCTCTTCAGTCTATATGTAATTCTATTCATGGCAAAGTTAAGAAAATAGTTATCATAATTATGAAGCACATCATGTACAGCATCCTCATGATCTCCCGTGGACTGTCAGACTTGTCGGCTCGTTCCTTGGGAGTAATTCGGGACCACTCACAAATTTTTGTAAAATATATATTGACCCAAATAAAACAAGACGCATATGACGGGGTGTACATCCTTATTCAGCACCTTTGCATCCGTGTGCCTGATAAGGCAGAGTTTCGGCAGAAAACTGCTCAATCTGTGGTGGAAATTTTGCGTTATCTTCCCATTCAACTCTACACACGTCTTGTGAAGTGGTTTTTCAAGTTCTCTCACAATGAGAAAGCAGGTCATAGGCTATTTATGCTCGAGGTAATATCCAAAATGTTGGGAGAGGAGGAACGACAGGCTGAAGGGGAGGCTGGAACTACCAAAGACGGGAATCAAGAAAATTTTCCTAAGGAGTCGGAGCCAAAGGCAGTTACAGAGAGGGGTTCTGATAATGATGATGACGAAGATGAAAAGGAGGAAGGGGATAAAGAAATCAGCTTTCTTAATGTTTCTATAGATCATCCAGGGGAAATCCCTCCAGATCGCAACATTCTTTCCCACAAGTTTTTGCTAAGTATAATTTTCTCAAGGTGCCGTGACAGTGCTGCAACTGTACGATCAAAGGCTCTTGCTCTGCTAGCAGACTGCACCTTCTCCACCAACCCTACAATAATGCTTGCCATGAAACAAATTTTTTTCCGCAGCCGGCCAATGTTTTCAACCCCACGTATTCCAAGTAATGATTTAGAATTGGAATCGCCACTTGATCTTGTGGAAGAGGAAGACCTGGAGCTCCCCAATGCTGCAAGAGTTGTATCAATGTTACATAGACGAGCCCTAGATGACAAAGTTACAGTGCGAAAGTCTGCTCTACAAGTGTTGGAAAATTTAATGCGTCTGGATAATGAGATGCTTTCAGACAAGAATCTAGAGGTTTGCCATCCTATTTTTTTTTAGTTTAATTCAGTAGTAGATCACATTAATAGTTGTTCAATTGCAGGGACAATTCAAAATTGTGCAGTAATGTTGTGATTTCAATTTAATTTTTTTTATTATGTTACTTGTATGTAGTTTGCCAGAAAGCACAGGATATTTTTATATTAATTTTTTTTTCATACAGGTATTAACTTTTAAAAGCTTTATTTTCCTTTTTGATTTTAAGTAATCTGAAACCAGCTTACTTTATTAAATTTATTGATGTTGGCTTTACATTTGACTCAAATACTAACATATACTGTATATTTATTTCAGTGTATGTAATCTTTTATTTAGCCAAATGTAATACTTGTGAAAGTTAACATCTCTATTCAGTGTAAATAACCGATACATTTTTTGTATATTTTATTAGCCTATGTCTATCACACGATTTATTGGTAACATGACGTCACCCCATTTCAAGCTTGTCTGATCTATATGGCCACACGTTTCTCTACATTCTGGATGAAGATGAGTTAGGATAGATTATGTTTGGTTAGGTTACATTTGAGATGAAATGGAATTACTTGTCATGAAACTGGATTGAAACTGGATTCACTTATATGAAGCCGGGGAAAATCCTAATAATTAACTGGAAAACTACAAACAATACATTTTTATGGAAGTTTAAAAGACCCTCCAATCAATATCAAGAACATTTAAATTTATGTCCATTTTTATATTGGCTCTGTTCCTTAGTCTACTAATTTAGTTTAATTTTACAGTTTCAGAGGTATAGTAAATTTTTTTTTATATCAATAATTGCCAATATTGTTTTTATGGTATGTGGCTACAAAATAACATTTTGTTTTGTGCTTTGTGTCACCCCCCGTCCCTACCCCCACCCCCCTGCCTCAGTAGCACTATATATAATAATAATAATTTTATTTAGGTAAGGTACATACATAAAGAGATTTTACAAAGTTTGTTGGCTTTATAGATAGAGCTAGTACATACAATGCCTAAAGCCACTATTACGCAAAGCGTTTCGGGCAGGAGTCTGTATATGCTCTGAATGCAACTAGACAGGCCAGTAAGGGTAAAGTCGCCTTCCTCACCTAAAGTCACTTGCTGGTCTCTGAATATTGCAACCCTCCAAAAAGTCTGTAGCACCTTCACCAGTAAATAGAACAACAATACAGAAATGCTAGGAATTCTTTGAAACACAAATTTATTAAATTATATATTGAATCAAAATGTATCTAATAGAAAACTATTAGAATAATTATTGTAACATAAATTTTTCCTCGTTTCAGTGCATATTTCTTATGAAAATCTTAAAATTAATTTGTTTAGTTATCAAATTTAAAGGGGATTCAGTATATTTTTATTCGTTCTTTTGTTTATATGGTCCTTAACCACCGCATTGAGCACCTGGTTTCGGCAAAAACTTCATACCAGTAGTGCAGTTATCAAAAACATATTTCTGTTGTCCTTGGATATATTTTTGTTGTTTTTATAAATGTTCAGGTAAAGTTAATGTCAAAATGTTTCCAAACTCAACCATTTACATTTCAAAACACAGAGTGATGAAAACATTAAAAAAACATTAAAATATAGCCTAATTAAAGAAAAAAAGCACAACTCTCAGAGCGCCTTAGAGTGCTCTGTGCAGTACAGTGATTAAACTGTAGGATGGCACATAGGTAGACACCTAGGAAATTGCATTATGGGGGAACAGTGTGTGGAATATTGTACTAAATTTGGCCCTGTTTTAGGTTTTCAAAGACTAAAATCAAGTATTTCAAAATCAGTTGCAAATACTGAACTATGAATGCATGACACACATCATGCTACCTTGCATATTAAATTAATATCAGATAAAACTCAATGGGTTCCAAGGAATAAGTTGCCAGACATGGTTGTCTGGTTTCTTGTATCTGAATGCCTGGGAAGAACAGTTTTTTCCTCCAAACACTGTGAAAATACTAAAGATTCACTCCAAACAGTGTAAAAATACTAAAAAAAAATATTATTGTTACTACCAGAGGTGGCTAATTTTTTGTGCATCCCATACCCGTCCTGTGATCAGCAGTGCAAAAATTATTAGAGGTCACAAAAGTTCTTGATGAGACCTCAGTGGATATTTTTACACTGTTAATTATAATCATTTTACATTGATTAATTACTTTGACAGCTAGTAACCTTTTCTCACTGCAACTATTATGCATTAACAGTATATTATTACAGTATTCATTGGAGGTAGGACTTCGTTGATGATAACATCATTTTTAACATTGGTTTTCACAGGATAAGTCTAGAGTTGTTGTATATGGGTTTAAGTCACAACCTGTATATTCAACATACTTGTGTCATTTATGTACTAGAAGTGAAATCTTTTATCATTTACATTTAATTGATTTGTCTTTCATTAAACATTAGTTCAGTTTTATCTCTAAATGGCTCAATTTAGTAATGACTCACTCTGCTACCATGCCTCATAATATCAGTTCTTCATTCTTAGTGATTCCCAAAAGATGAGATGTTGAACATTTGGTTTCGGATATCCAGGTACAATCTAGGTACTCTTGAATTCTATTTCTGGTACAGTATTTGAGCACTTATTGGTCCAAACATCTAAGAAGCAGTTATGTTGTCCTAGGAGTTTGCCTAATTACATGGAAACAAATTAAAATATAAAAATTACCATAATGTAAATTGTTATACTTGCAGTATTCTCTTATAGATAGGTGAATTATTTTGCTGTCTAGAGTCTGGGGCTATTATGTCTGATTATCTGAACATGCAATAAATCTCTGGATGCTGCTGTTTTCAGATAAAATCTCCAGTAAATGGAGATACAATCTCCATACATGTACGACTCCAATGTCATTTTTTAGAACAATATCTCTTTCAAGCCATACCATAAGTTTGTCAATAAGCCCAAGACAGTGGGACCCTGGTGCATTTGGATATAGTTCCAGACATTGCCATAATGTTACCAGGCCTCTAGACTTACGCAGACTTGCTGAACACTGGTATCACATTCTGGTGCATTTGTGAAGTATTGTGTTGACTGCTTTCATTTCAGATTTAAGTTTAGATTTAGAAGCTTATCTATAAGTGATCTATGCAAATAATTACATTGTGACTAGTCAACAGGTACACAGTTTTTAAAACGTTAAACTTACAATTAGAGCGGTGAGAATACAGTTTAAAGATAGTTGACATAAACTGCAGGAATTATACTATAAAGTCATAGAAATTCGTACAGCCTCAGCATTTTGCATCTACAGATTCAGGGACCAGTCTGGGTCACAATCACTCTGAACACGCAGCTTATGCAATATAGATCTGATTTCAAAATGTTTTTAAATGCTTGTCAAAAGGTGTTACTCTTACTACTCGTTGTAACAGTGTTTCCAGAATAATTTCTAATATCCAGTTGGCGGTATCTGTGCTTTGTCTGCAGGCTAGTTGTTTTATTCTATACTAGTGCTTTGTCTGCTGGCTAGTTGTTTTATTCTATACTAGTGCTTTGTCTGCTGGCTAGTTGTTTTATTCTATACTAGTGCTTTGTCTGCTGGCTAGTTGTTTTATACTATACTAGTGCTTTGTCTGCTGGCTAGTTGTTTTATTCTATACTAGTGCTTTGTCTGCTGGCTAGTTGTTTTATTCTATACTAGTGCTTTGTCTGCTGGCTAGTTGTTTTATTCTATACTAGTGCTTTGTCTGCTGGCTAGTTGTTTTATTCTATACTAGTGCTTTGTCTGCTGGCTAGTTGTTTTATTCTATACTAGTGCTTTGTCTGCTGGCTAGTTGTTTTATACTATACTAGTGCTTTGTCTGCTGGCTAGTTGTTTTATTCTATACTAGTGCTTTGTCTGCTGACTAGTTGTTTTATTCTATACTAATGCTTTGTCTGCTGGCTAGTTGTTTTATTCTATACTTGTGCTTTGTCTGCTGGCTAGTTGTTTTATTCTATACTAGTGCTTTGTCTGCTGGCTAGTTGTTTTATTCTATTCTATAATGGTTTAGACCTGCTTCACCATTATGTACTTGGCTCACTAAGTTCTGTTTACTAATAATGAAGTAGATATTTCTGGCAAAGTTTGAGTGGCAAGTAAATATGAATGCCTGTTAAGAGAGGTTATGGAGTTAGCTGGATTGAAATTGAAATTAAAATTGAAATAAGTTTATTGAGGTAAAATACACACAAAGGGATGAGGTAGCTCAAGCTATTCTCACCCCATTCAGTACAACGTGTTAATATATACATAGACACACATCACAAATAAACACATTACCAAACATTCTGAGAGGTAAACATATACATTTCCTCCTTCACAAGTAGTATGGTATCAGACGTACACACAAATACTTTTATGACCTAGGTATACTGTATAGACAATTTGCAAGACACCTGCAGATAATTCAACAAAATATTACAATCTTGGTGCAAAATTCTTATATCTCTCAAGAATATCATCAACCTTTCCGTTGTGACACATCCAGGCTATTTGTTCAGGAACAGTCCTTATCTCAGTGTTTCTATATACATTAATCAACGGACAATCAAGAATATAATGGGCAAGGGTGTGAGACCTTAACATACCATATAGTTTACACTTCGTGTCATTACCATGAACATCTATCCCATATTCCCAGTAATATTTGTACCCAAGCCTGAGCCGCATGTACACAGAGTCACTCCAAGCATTTCTCCTTTTACCATAAGTGAAATGGGTGTTTTGACTCACATACATGTAGTGTTGCATGGTTTGACTTCTCTCATACATTATCTCTCTCCTCTCCACTCCCGCCTGTGCCTGAATATTTCTGATTTTGCTTCTTATTTGTCTCATTGTGAATTCACATTCAATGTCAACTTGTGGTTTTGATGTGGCACGTTTGGCCAAGTCATCCGCCACCTCGTTGAGCACTATTCCAACATGAGACGGAATCCACATGAATTTCACACTATAACCTTTCAGCTGTATCTCAGTTATTCTTCTCTT